GAGAACGATGAAGCAGGAGAGGAGGATCAGGAGCTGGGCGGTGGTTTGCGATGGTTGGGTGGTTTGCACACAGTGAGGGCAGAGGCTGTGCTTCAGGGGAGCGAGAGTTGGAGTGGCAGAGGACTGTGAACTGGGGGGAAGAGACAGGGAGAGGGGGCCAGAGAGGGTCAGCCCTGCTGGGTTTGGTGGGATTTGGCTCTGTGTGTGGTGGGAGCTGTTGGAGAATTTCCAGCAGAGAGGTGATGTGATGAAGTTTACATTAAAAATCACATTGTTGTTTTGAGAGTAGACCCTAGGGTTGGGGCAGGGGCAGAGCAAAGAGCTGAGGCTTTACGGTTACTTGGAGATGAGATGTGACTTAGACCCCAGTGATGGATGCGCAAGTGGTGAGAAGGGGCTGGATCACAGGGATGTTAGGAAGGAAGAATGCACAAGATTTCTTGGAGCCTCAGTTGTGGTGTGTGAGAGAGTAAACGTTGCCTTCAGGACTTTCAAACTGAGCAACGGGAGGGTTGGAGTTGCCATTTGTGGAAACGGGGCAAGACAAGGAGCTCACTTCTCGGATGTTCTAAGTCAAGAAAACTGAGACATCCATATAGAGATACCAAGAAACAGATGGGTCTATGAATCTTGAACTGAGGGCAGAAGTGGGCCTTGGGAGTCATCTGGGAGTCATCGGCATTGAGTGTACGATGGAGTTTGAAACCTTAAGACAAGGTGAGAAAAGCAAGGCCGTGTTCATAGAATGATTGGAAAAGTGATCAAGGGACTGAGTCTTGTGACATTCCAAGTATTAGTGGCTGGGACAATCAGGAGGAATCAGGCAGAGGAGTCCGGGAGGAGAGACTGGGAGTGGGGAGGGATCCAGGAGAGCACAGAAGAGGGTGGCCGGGGGATGGAGCAGCAAGGAAGGACTGAGCAAGCATGTCAGATGCCTTGGGTGCTCAGCAAAGGTGCTTGGATTCAGCAGTGTGATTGCCACTTGGGACCTCAATAGGACCAAGCAAAGCCCAACTGGGGAGGGTTCCACAGAGACGACAGGAAAAGAATTGGGATAGAAGATATAGCCAGTTCTTTTCCGGTGCCATGTGGGATCCCAGTTCCCCACGTGTTAGTCACTCAGTCATGTCCGACTCTTTGTAGAATCTTGAACTGAGGGCAGAAGTGGGCCTTGGGAGTCATCTGGGAGTCATCGGCATTGAGTGTACGATGGAGTTTGAAACCTTAAGACAAGGTGAGAAAAGCAAGGCCGTGTTCATAGAATGATTGGAAAAGTGATCAAGGGACTGAGTCTTGTGACATTCCAAGTATTAGTGGTTGGGACAATCAGGAGGAATCAGGCAGAGGAGTCCGGGAGGAGAGACTGGGAGTGGGGAGGGATCCAGGAGAGCACAGAAGTGGGTGGCCGGGGGATGGAGCAGCAAGGAAGGACTGAGCAAGCATGTCAGATGCCTTGGGTGCTCAGCAAAGGTGCTTGGATTCAGCAGTGTGATTGCCACTTGGGACCTCAATAGGACCAAGCAAAGCCCAACTGGGGAGGGTTCCACAGAGACGACAGGAAAAGAATTGGGATAGAAGATATAGCCAGTTCTTTTCCGGTGCCATGTGGGATCCCAGTTCCCCACGTGTTAGTCACTCAGTCATGTCCGACTCTTTGTTGACACCATTGACTGTTGCCCACCAGGCTCCTCTGTCCATGGAATTCTCCAGGCAAGAATACTGGAGTGGATAGCCATTCCCTTCTCCAGGGGATCTTCCTGACCAAGGGATGGAACTCGAGTCTTCTGCATTGCAGGCAGATTCTTTATAATTTGAGCCACCAGGGCAGCCCCCTCGTCCCCCAACCAGGGATTGAACAGGCACCCCCATCTAGTGAAATCTCAAGAGTCTTAACCACTGGACTGCCAAGGCAGTCTCTTGATGAGTATATTCTTGTATGGTATAATATTTATACTCTAAGTGTTTTCTGTAATGGGGAAAATAGCTACAACTGTGTATTTGTTTTTCTTTAAAACACACTCATGCACACCAAATCATTTTGTGGTTATTACAGAGGATGGCTAATTGTGGGGTTAGCCCAAAGTAGGTTTTGATGTACTTTGCAAACATTCACTAGCTGCTAAAAGTCTCTTTTACTTCCCTTTAAAAGAAAGAAAAGAGACGTTTAATGGAAACAAATGATTACATGTAAAAAGTTGTGTACATTTATTTATTTTGGAGGGGAAGTAACAATAATGATGGTTGATTGATTTTTATAAAATTACCCAAGGTCACTCGTGGGACGCACTCAGCTTTCATGAACAAGCATAACAAGCAGTGTCAGGGTCAGAGCCAAAGGCTGATTTGAGCCCTTCTCTTTATTTCAGCTTTCAGAAATGGGGTCAAGCTCTATAAAGTGGAGAAATAAAGTCCTCCCACTTCCCTCCCATATTCAAGTAACTCTACTTTAAAGCAGTTCAGTATATATTTGTCTTAAGCTAATAAAGTGTGCAATGAAATACTTGGGGCCTTGGCACAGAGGTAGATTGAATGTAAACTTCCTGTTCTTTCACACCAAGAAGCTTTTACCTTGGTTACCGCATACGATTATTTCAACCAAAATTAGAGTAAATAAGTAACATGTCTTTTTTCTTAAAAGTAACTATGATAAATAATGAAATTAATGAGATAATTAATGAAAAGTATTTCCTAATTAATGAAAAAGCTACCTGGTAGGGTTTGCAAAGTGGACAGAACATGAGTGTCTCTGTCAGGTGGTCCTGGGTTCTAGTGCTCACTCTGCTTCCCCCAGCCCACTATCTGCTCTGAAATATGGAACGTGATGACCTCCTAGGCTTGTTTGGAAAGGTTGTTTCAGACAATATCTCTAAAGATATTGGCATAGGATATGTGCTTAATACATGTCAGTTCCCTTGTTTTCCGCATCATCTCATTTGAATTCCTCACTGTGCAGGTAATCTCTTTCTCAAGTGACAAAGTTCCTTGCAGTGTAGGTGGTATCTGGAGAACAAGAGGTCCATGTCTCCATCAGTGTCCAATGCACGCTTGACTGTGTTCTTTGTGGATGTAGATGTCAAGTGTTCTAGAGACAGAAGGAGCCTCAGTGAATGCATAACTCTGTTCCACGTGTCACTGAGGAGCAAACAGACCATCCCTTGGCACCGAGTGGGACAGATTTGGAAACTGAGAAGTCCAAGGCCCAGCAATTTTGTGAAACTTACTGAGGGTCATTCAGAGGTCAATAGCAGAGTGGGGACAGGTATCTGATTCAATACGCTGTCTCCATCATGGTTCATCTCAGTTCAGATTTCCTGACTATTGATGATGGTGTGACCCATTGTTGGACCCATTGTTCAACCCATGTTCCACTAGTTGAAGATTTGGAACATTAGTGACACACGGCTGTGAGTGAAAATGTTCTAGTGAATGCAAGAAGGTGGCCTGTACCACAGGTCGCATTTCTTCCCTATTGTTCACAGCAGGATTCATTTATTGTTGTTCAGTCATTCAGTTGTGTCCGACTCTTTGCAACCCTATGGACTTCAGCATGCCAGGCTTCCCTGTCCTTCACTATCTCCTGGAATTTGCTCAAACTCATGCCCATTGAGTTGGTGATGCCATCCAACACATTTCATTCTCGTCATCCTCTTCTCCTCCTGCCTTCAATCTTTCCCAGCATCAGGGTCTTTTCCAGTGAGTCAGATCTTTGCATCAGGTGGCCAAAGCATTGGAGCTTCAGCTTCAGCATCAGTCCTTCCAATGAGTATTCAGAGTTGATTTCCTTTAGGATTGACTGGTTTGATCTCCTTGCTCGCCAAGGGACTGTCAAGAGTCTTCGCCAGCACCACAGTTCGAAAGCATCAATTCCTTGACATGGGACTCATTACTGTATTTCTAATGATTATTCTTGTCATTTTAATGACAATGGAAGGGAAATTAAAGTCAGACTTTAAAATCAGAATTGCCAGCAGGCCCTTTGGAAGACTGGTAAGGATTGTGGTGCTATTCAAGTATCAAGCCTCTAGGTCACCAAAGGAGAGTTGCTTCTTAGGTCAGTCACCTTAGAGTGTGACCAATTTGCCATTTTTGAAAAAGGGACATGAGGACAACAGAGGCTGAGGTGTTGGAAAGAGCTGGCCTTTTGGAGGGGCTTGGCAGGTTAGGGTCTCAGAAACAGGGACTCTTCTCAGGCTTGTTAACATACAAACACTGGAATTACTAAGAATCAAATATTTCCAGTCTTCCCTTTCCTTTGGCTCCAGATTTCCTTGAGAAGCCTGTGTACATGATAGAGTTGATGGTAGGATAAGGCACCATGACTGACAGTCCCACTCAGCTCTGTTCAATGGAGCAAAATAATTCCTTGTGTAAATTAGGGTCTATTATCCAAAGAAATAGAGTAGGAAATGGCACTCTACCCCAGTATTCTTGCCTGGAAAATTCCATGGGCAGAGGAGTCTGGTGGACTATAGTTCATGGGGCTGGAAAGAGTCAGACACAACTGAGAGACTAAGCATATCCAAAGAAAAGGATAATGGATGTTGGTCAGCTAAAGTGCAAAAAATTTCATAATGCCACCTAATTACACTTCCTTTTACCATGTCTTATAATTGTGGTGTTATTTTCTTCTATTCCCATTTCCTGTTTACTGTTTCCCTGTTTTTTTAAACTTAATTTTCTAAGCCGCTATCACGTGGTGAAAATGGTGATCTTCTCATTTCTTATTTAACCACTCCTAAATTTCTAGGCATTAAGGTTATTGTGACTAAAAACACTATAAATAAAGCTGCTGTGAATTGTGATAGCTAACCTAAGCTGACTTAGTAATACTGTGCTCCTTGATGTCAGATGACTCAACTGTGCTTCTGGGAAAGAAGGCGAGATAAATCTAAATTTCAGCAGAATTATATAAATGAAGAAGGTTTCATTAGACATTATAACTATCAAAAGAAGGTGAGCCTAATCTTCCCAGGGACTGAGTGTCTTTCTGTGGCTCTTAGGAGGGAAGTTGATCTTCCTGGACCTGGGACCCATCGAACTCAGGGCACACTCCATCCTTGTTTCTGACGGTGGAGAACTCCGGATTGGATCAAAGGACAAGCCCTTCCAAGGCGAAGCTCGGATCAAACTCTATGGGAGCTCCTACTCTGCCTGCTTCTTCCCATATGGAGTCAAGTTCCTGGCTGTGAGGAATGGGACTCTTTCCCTTCATGGTGAGTGAGGCGACTGGCCAGAGGAATTGAGGGAGAGCTTTGTCTAGCCAAGGTACAGACAATGGGGAAAATGGCTAAAACGACTTACATTTCTTTGGCTGTTAGTTGCTGAGGCAACAAAGTGAATTAGAGCATGGGCACTGTTTCCTTAACTAAGGAATATTTATTATTATTGTTATTTTGCTGGAGTATTTGTTTTACAATGTTGTGTTAGTGTCTGCTGTGTAGAAAGTAAATCAGCTATACATATTCGCATATGCCCTCTTTTTGGATTTCCTTCCTATTTAGGTTACTACAGAGCACTGAGTACAGTTTCCTGTGCTATACAGTTGGTTCTCATTAGTTATCTGTTTTACACTAGTTATCTATTTTATACGTAGTATCAAGACTGTATATAAGTCGGTCCCAATCTCCCAATTCATCCGTCCCCTTGATATCCACACATTTGTTCTCTACATCTGTGCCTCTACTTCTGCTTTGCAAATAAGTCCATCTATACCATTAAATAAGGAATATTAATCATGATGCTACTCACCACAGAATATACTATGGTTCTCAGTTATTCACTCCCCTTTCTGCAAAAGGATTATACGCCTCTTCTCTCTGTCAGGTGACTTTCAGTGCCTCCCTGTGGGTAGACCGTATTTCCTTGTCCCAGTGAAAGTGGGCTTCACTTTGGACTTGCTTTGGTCAGTGGAATGTGAGAAGAAATGATGTACTTCATGGTCAAATCAAAGTTTTAAGAACCAGTGTAATACTTTGGATGTTTTTCTATATTCCTTCTGCTTGAGCATACACCATCTCCTATAGGGATAGGGGCAGCCCCTTAAACTTGGGCACAGCTGCACGTGACCTACTGCTCCTGTTTGTGTGAGTGAGGAATAAACTTGTTTTCATGAGTGACTGAGATTTGTATCTGTAACTGTGGCTTAACCTAGTGAAAACTGACCAATAGTGTTGCTTACTGTTACTTAGCCTACACAGGCAGCTGTGTACACTGGTGGCATCACAGACCAAACAGATAAGCTTGTTGTTTTTGTTGTTGCTGTTTTCCCCTCCTGGGAACAGGGTTCAGTTGGAGTTCTCCCTAGAATCCTGTTACAGGTGAGTTGGTGTTTATAGATTCCTGGGGAAAAACAAATATTAGGTCATAGTGTGTTTCTGCTACAATTTTGTTTGCCTTTTGATGATCTCATTGCACTTTGCAAAATGGCATTTTTATTTTCCTTGAGATTCAGGAAATTACTTTGTGTGCCAGGATAACCCTTAGCATCAACTAGAAAATGTAAGTATAACATGATGAGCGTGGAGTGTCTTTCAGTGGATACTGATAAACATTTTATTATATAACATGAGCCAAAGGCAGATAAAAAAATGCAGGCACCAGATAGTGACCCAATTTGGATTTCTGGAGAGAATATGTGGTATCCTCTACATTGGAATATCTGTGCTGACATAACAAAACAGGACCCTGCTACCTCTCATAGGGTAATTGTTCTAGACATGGCATGTGGCTATGCTGAGGAGTCAGTCTTTTTTGTACATCAACGATTTGTCCATTAAAAATTGTGGCCCTAAATCATTGTCTACTAAAAGCCCTCTACTGCCTTTTTTCAACTTACTGTGAGTAGAAGTGGGATCTTATCATCAAGCATTTTTTTAAATGCTGACCAGGGACCAGCCAGAGAGAGACACACTGGGAGTAAATTTTGTGAGGTTGAAAAGCCCACAACTATCTAGACAGAAATTCAAAACACCTACAATGTTGATTCTTGTATTCTACTTCTAAGCAGTACCTTTTCCCCCCCATTTTCATCAGCAAGCACTTATATTGATCTTATAGCCCAGATCCATGAGGGGCTTCTGTATGTTTACACAACAGTGATGGTCTCAATGGCTGTTCTGATCTAACAGCCACTTAGACCACCAACCCAGTGTGTGGCTGTTTACCCTGGAGAAAAAGGCACAGATCAGTATTTCAACCAGCCTGATCCTGAAGGGTCCTAAAGCTTCAGAAGTATCTGTTGGTTTGAGAGCCATTTTCCTATGAGATGCAGATGGCATAACTCTTGCCTGAAGTGGAAATTCACCTGAAGAAGGATGAAACTCTCCCAATTCTTTTATTCAAATTCTTTCATTCCAATGCCTTCTTTCTCATGTTCTATTATGAAGGGTCAGAGAAAGACTGTACAAACATACCTTTATGTGCTTATATTGTAAATGTACTCTGTGCTTCTAACCTCTGTGTTTTAATAGGTGTCAAGTTAAGAAAATCCCTAGGACCATTGCTTATAATTAATATACGGGGCAATTAAAGCAAAGTAGATGCCTCTAATGTGTTTTGAGAATCCTGAAAGTTTCAAAAGTGTTGCTGCCTTATCCTGGTGATGTTACTGGACACTGAAAGTGCAGGCACCTCCTCTCCCCTGCTTTCCTCACTTCCATCTTCTCCTCTCCTTTTCCTCCTCTCCTTTCCCAACCCTCTTCCCCTCCCTCCTTTTCCTCCTCCTCTTCTTTCTTGTATTCCCAGGGTTAGGGTGTCATCCCCAGAATCCTACCGATGCAGGCATGAAAATGATCTCTCGTGAAGCAAAGCTTGCACAGGAACACAGGCAAAATCAAGCTGTTTTCCTGACTGAGTTGATGCTGCTGTGTCTCATTCATTTCAAAGAAATAGTGTGTAGAAAAGAGCTGAGCCGCTGGGTGAGAAGGCTCTCCAGTCACAGCCTGTGGTCTGCCAGTCCTCTCCCTTCTCTCTCCCTCACCACCTGAGGTCTCACACAGACTTCCCCTCTGGCAGCATGGTGCCATATCATGGTTAAAATCATTACGTAATTTCACTCGCCTTTTCCCAGGGCCAGAGGTAGACCTGGTGACACGGGGCTTTAGGGGAAAACTAATTATCTTTTGCTGTCAAGTATGCAGAAAAGTGAGCAACTTGATTCACTGCTTTGCCCCCAGCAGGTCCCTAAAGACCCCACTTCACTCAGCTTTCCAGGATGCTGTAGGGAGGAGAGCCACCAACCTTCCCGCATGAAGATGCTTCTTGGGAAGATTCTGAAAATTGAGGTTTCTGGACCTCTCTTCCAGAATCTGAGTCTGTGGGCTTGGCATGGGCCCAAGAATGTGCTTTTCAGTGGGACCATCAGGTGATTTGATTCAGGGAGCCCACTGAATGCACATGGAGAAAGGCTGTTTTTAGTAGTTCATGTAAGTTTGGGAATCAGAAATCAGTCCTGTTTTGCCACTTATCAAGTATGACCTTGGGCAAATCAATCTCTATAAAACCAGGAAAACACAGTTTCTGCCTTGTAGACTTACTGCTTATGAACTGCTGCAAAGTATCTAACACACGGTAACACTCCAGCACTATTAGTTATGGCTTTTCTGGTAATATTTTCCCCCAAAAGCAATGAGTCCCCTGTACAATTATCTCATGTGTGTGTGTGTGTGTGTGTTTGCATGTGCATGCGTGCTCAGTCTCTCAGTCGTATCTGACTCTTTGGGACCCCAAGGACTGTGGCCTGCTAGTCTCCTCTATCAACGGGATTTCACTCAGGCAAGAATACTAAAGTGGGTTGCCATTACCCACTCCAAGGGATCTTCCTGACCCAGGGATAAAGCTGCATGTCTTGTGTCTCTGCACTGGCAGGTGAATTCTTTACCCCTGCACTACCTGGGAAGCCCCAATGATCTCATAGTTTCTTTCAAGGATAAGAGGGGACTTCTACTTGGCATGGAACCAGCTCTGCTTGGAGATTTTTCTCCTTATTCATTATATTTTCTTTTTAAAAAATTTTTACATATTTATTTGGCTGCATCTGGTCTCAGTTGTGGCACACAGAATCTTTGTGCATAACGTGAGATTGTTGTCCCACATGGACTCTTCAGTTGTGGCTCAGTAGTGTCAGTGCACGGGCTTAGTTGCTCCATGGCATGTGGAATCTTAGTTCCCTGACCAGGGATCAAACCCTTGTCCCCTGAATTGCAAGGCAGACTCAACCACTGGACCAACAGAGAAGTCCCTCTTTACTCATTTTCTTGTCTACCTTTCATCACAGCAAGAGAGAAGTTTTAACTTTGGAGGTCATAAAGGAACAACGCTTCCAGGCACCTTTGGTCTGTTTCCAAAACTCAGTGAACACACAGCTTGATTTTAATACCTTGTGGTGCAGCTGCTTCCTAGTGGTAGATAAACACCATGGCTGGGCATGATTACAATGAAGGTTTCTTGGAAACCATTTGCATGGGTTCCAGTCTAAGCAAAAGCAGAGCACTGCTTTGCCAATGAGGTTTTTTCAGGTGTTTTATTCCTAACATCCAACAGGAAGAGGCCTGACTGATGGATGCAAATTTCCCTCTTAGAGGATCACACCAATGGGCCTGTGTTTCAGTGGTAGGCTTTCCCACCTTCTCTATTCCATCTCATTCTTCATGGCTGCCCCTGGTAACCCTTCTGCTCTAGTCAATTTTTATCATAGGTTAAAAGTGCTAAGCAAACAGACTTTGTTGTTTAGCTGTCACCAAGAAAGATGGAGCTGAAAGCGTGTGTTTCATGTTTTGCTCTTAATGTAGAAAAATTCTCTTACACTCCTATACTCAGCTGCCCCGCCCCTACCCCCCCCCCCCCCCACACACACACACATGCGCACACACAGCCCAGTGTGTCTTTCTCTTCCTCGGGGTTTAGGAGTGGATGGGACAGCCTGGGTTCTGAATCTCTGGTGATCAGATGACTCAAGAACTTGTGTTGGCTGTACGCTTTGCTATACGCTTTGCTATGTTACTATGGCTAAAGGCTTGCAGATTCTTCAAGAGTGTCAGTCTGGGGTTTTGGGGGGCTGTTGTCAATGAGGAAATTTCACTCTCACCTTTTGCTCCCTTCCTCTGTCTGCCAATCCAGGTTCACCACCCCAGACCAAGTGCCAATCACATGTCACTTTTCAAGGGGGTCGCTGTCAGCCTGAGCAACTTGAATTTTTGACAATGTAATTACGGCC